ACATTAATGAGCTCATCTCTCCCCTAAATCAGATGGCAATTTCGTGCAAGGCATGAAGAGAGGGAAAAAGAGAGAGTTTTGAGGGAAAACCAAGAGAAAGGCATCAACTTTGGTCATACAATCAAGGTTCAAGGTGAGTTCTTAGCTCTAGATGTGTTCTTGCCTTGGTTTCTTTCTCTTTTATGGTTGAAAATATGTCTTCTCTCCCTTTTGATGGCTGGTCGAAATGGTTGATGAGTGGGGAAGGGAGTTTGGTTGTTAGATCTTGCTAGAACACCTCAAAGTATGGTAGATCCAAGTGGATCCATGTGAAAATTGGAAGAATTACGTGCTGATTTGATGGCTTTTTCGAATTAGTTACTGTTCATATCTGGTTCTGAAATTTGGCATGCTTAAATTACACTCTATGAGCTTTAAATCCATGGGTAGAAAACTTTATTTGGATATGTGTACGATTTATGGTGATTTTTCAAAGTTAGGGTTTGAAATCTGGAAACAGTGTTGAACTTTTGGGAGATTGTCGAGTTCCGTACAATTATGGTACTGTTATGAGTAGAATTGGTTCCTGAAACTATTTTTCCTTTAAATTTAACTTAATTATCTTTCAGTGAGACTTGGAATCACTCAATTTGGATTTTTCTAGATTTAAGTATGAATTTTGAAAGTTGATCAAAAATTCTGGAGATTCTGCGTGAACAGTACCCGCGAACCAAATTTTCCAGATTTGATATTCTTGAATCTAAAGCCATCTAAAGTGGTCCTAATTGATAGGAAATAGATCATAAGGATGGGAAATGATGAGATTTAGGTTAGAAAAGCTAGAAAGAAAACCCTAAGACTAAGTGAAAGGGTTGAGGTTCAAGAAAGCTAGTCTTGAACTTTATGTAATCTAATGGTCCTAATGGATTGTGTCATCATTATGGTTATGTTTAGGATCTTTGGAACATCCAAGAGGATGTTTAGTGATGTTGACCGAATGCCCACATGGTTGGAAAGTCAAGGGAGTCAAAGGAAAAGTAAGAGGAAAGCTTGAGGTGCAAGGTAGTGAACTTACCTATTGTCATTGCTTGATGTGGTATGCTTGTGTGTTGCCGTGAACATGTTATTTGCATGTTGTTGTGACATGTTTTAGCTGCTGTAATTGCTATTCATGATGAGTAGATTATGTCTCCATGGCCATGCATCAAGAAGTTAGCTTTGAGCATGCTAGTATGTCACTAATTAACAAGAGAATAAACAAGTTGCGTGTAGTGCATTAGCATCCATCTAGCATGATTATGTGGTATTGTTTGCTACTGAGATTCCCCCGAATCTCACCCCCTCCCTAACCAACCATTTAGGTCAATCAATGATGGGCACTAATGGCATGAGAAGCAAGGAGAAGAAGTGGAGAATTATTAATGCAAATGAATGATATTAATATTCAATGTATAATTCTCCTATGCTGTAAATTATGTTATGAATGCCATCAATTCAATGTATATGCTTAGGATGTTTATGGCATGAATAAAAGTATATGAGTATGAATGAGAAAGATTAAGCCCATGTTATGTATGTCAAAGAAATAAAAAGAATTAAAGTAAGGAGATATTAAGGGATAAAACGTAGGTCATGGAGCAGTTAGTTTCAATCTTCAGTTTAACCTACCAAATGAATGAGTTAAATCACGAGATTTGGCACACTTATAATGCATATCCCAAGCTTTAAAATGAGTGGTAAATCACATCATTTGGATGTGTATACAATGAGATATGAATTTTCGAAGTTAAGGCGCAGAATCTGGAAAGTCCAGATTTTACCAAATGAATAGTAATCTTAATCCAATAAACTGTACGAATTGAGCAAGAATAAGTCCAATTGAGTATTTTTCCCTTAAAGAGCATTGAAAGAGCTTTCCGTAGAATTTTGGAACACCTCCATACGATTTTTCTGGAATTAGTTATGATTTTTCAAAATTGGACCTGTAATCTGAAAACTGGACAGTGAACAGTAATTTTCTGAAAATTAACGTCCAAATTAAAATTTTTAAGCTTAAGACCATCCAAAGTGGTCTGGAATGGTTCTAAATGAATGCTAAGGTATTATATAAGTAAGGTGTGACAGAAAATTTGGCAATTAACACGACCAATGAGCTCAATTTCCACTTAGCTTTTGTGTAACTGTTTGATGCGTGTTGGACTCTAAAAGTTAGAAAATTTACCTGAGCAATTAGTTAATTAACCACCTCTATTGCATAATTTCATGCTTGTTGGAATCTGATCTGTAGTGGCTTCACAGGGAAAATTAGGCAATTAACACCAGCAATTGGCTGTATTTCCACTTACTTTGTGTGAAACTGTTTGATCTATGTTGGACTCTGAAAGTTAGGAAATTGACATGAACAATTAGTTAATTAACCACCTCTATTGAATAATTTTATGTTTGATGGAATCTGATCTGGAGTGGCCTCACAGGGAAAATTAGGCAATTGACACGAGCAATTAGCTGCATTTCCACTTACCTTCGGTGTAACTGTTTGATCTGTGTTGGACTGTGAAAGTTAGGAAATTGACATGAACAATTAGTTAATTAACCACCTCTGTTGCATAATCTTATGTTTGATGGAATCTGACCTAGAGTGGCCTCACAGGGAAAATTAGGCAATTGACACGACCAATGAGCTCAATTTCCACTTAGCTTCTGTGTAACTGTTTAATGCGTGTTGGACTGTGAAAGTTAGGAAATTGACATAAACAATTAGTTAATTAACCACCTTTGTTGCATAATTTCATGTTTGTTGGAATCTGATCTGGAGTAGCCTCATAGGAAAAATTAGGCAATTGACACGAGCAATTAGCTGCATTTCCACTTACCTTCGGTGTAATTGTTTGATCTGTGTTGGACTGTGAAAGTTAGGAAATTGACATGAACAATTAGTTAATTAACCACCTCTGTTGCATAATTTCATGTTTGTTGGAATCTGATCTTTTGTGGCTGGACAATGAATGTTAGCCAATTTACACGAAGAATGGTGTCATTATCCAGTTAAGTTGCATGTAACAATTTGATGTCCTGTCGTATGACAAGTAAAGTTAAGGATTTAAGAATAACAATTAGTGTGCATACAATTTTGGGGTCTATGTAACCAGAAATATTGGATGGTATGAATTTTGAAGTGCTGTTTAATCTACTAACTGATGACTTTGTGATTATTAGATAAAGGAAGAAGTTGGGAAAAAACGATGCACAAGTTATTGGCTGGAAAGTATTTAAGGGAGAATATTAGGAGCAAAAGAAGCAAGAGATGCATGGAAATATGGGAGCAATCACAGGTACGGCTTTAGCGATTTGGAAGGAGATGAGTGATGCTGACAGGGAGCCGTACAAGAAGAAGGAGCAACAGTTGATAGAGGAGAAGAAGAAGAAGGAGAAACATGTGTCCCCATTTTCTACCCACTGCTCCCCCACAAAATTCAAGGAAGTGGCAAACTTTATAAATGGCAAAGAAAATTTAAAGCGCAAGGTAGAAGAAATGGGGTTTGGCCATCTTCTTGGTATTACTTTGAATAAGCTGCACAGAGATTTATGTCTGGAGTTGATTCATGCATATGACTCCCCAAGTAAACAAATGACCATAAGGGGGAAGACAAAGAAGGTAACTGGTACAGATGTTAGGAGGGTGCTTGGGTTACTAGATAAGGGCTCCAAAGTGAAGTTGGTTGGCTTCAAGGATGAAGTAAATGAGCTGAAGAAGGACTATACTCTACTAACATATTCTCAAATTGTGAAGAAGATAATGAGTGACGAAGAAGATGGAAACTTTGAATTCTATTTTGTTCTCTTCACAGTGGGAACTCTTCTTTGTCCCACGGGAAATGCAAGTGTGAGTAAGAAGGTGCCAAAGGTAATGGCCTGCACAGAAAATAACTGGCAAAATTTTGATTGGGCTTCATTTGTGCTTGATGAACTCAGTGAAGAAATTAAGCGGTACAATAGGAGCAGTAAGGAAGGATAGACTGAGGGTGCCAGAGTTGTCAGAGGGCGCATCTACTTTTTATTAGTACTTGCATATTTCCTTACAAAATAAATAATGTTAGATCTGGTTTGACCATTAAACTGTTGATGTATTATGTAATTTGATTTTTGAGTTATGTTTTTTTCTTTCTCTGTAGCTGTACTTCCTGCAAAGGTTCCCTTTGCAAGGAGGTGAACCAAAAGACAAAGACGCCATCAGACATTGGGATGATAAGGCTGTGAAAAGCAGAACTGATACAGACAAGGAGAGTCGACATGGCATTTTCTACAGTCCACCCTCTGCTGAAATGAATGAGTCAACACAACTGGGGAGCAGTAGAAGTTTCCATCATCTGGTGAGTAATACCAATATGGTAATGTCTGCTGGTCAGACTTAATATCTGTTTGATGACATACATTTATAATGTGCAGGACATTAAAGGGTTTTGGGTCAATTTCAACAACACATTGAAGAATGATATGGCTAAGATTCAAAACTTTGTTTGTGATGAATTGGTTAAGTTAGAGAACAAAATTCTTAACCAAGGAGGCAATGAAGAAATCAATGATGAGCAGCCGGATGAAAGTGAGAAAGATGAGCATGAAGAAGAAGGAAAAGAACACCACACTGAGGAGGATGAAGATGAGTAGCCACAACATGATGAAGTTATGATTGTAGAAGGTGGAGAAAAACATCAAAGTAGTGAGAAATCGCATGATGATGAACAGGAAGAAGAAGAAGAAGAGGAAAATGAAGACGAGAATGACAATGTGAGAGAAAATAAAGCTGCAAAAAAGGATACTGAAGGTGAACAGGCAGCTGAAACTGAAGAAGGGAATGAAGAAGGGAAAATGGTGGGCAAAGTGGTGCAGCTACCCACAAAGAGGTAAAGTAGACGTAAACTCCTAGTAGTGAAATCTCCTTACATGTCTACTTATGGCAGAAAGGTGAAAATGAGTGACAGGAATGCATTTTATACTATGTGTACTGAGTGGTGTCAACCAAATGAGGCTCAAGAGTAAGTATAGTCAGTTATTATGGAAAAGATAGCCTGTGAATAATACTAGTATGCAATACTGACTACTTATTTCCACTTTCATATTTGTTGTAGGGTCATGGTAGATATATTTGGGCATTTGGCAACACAAGCAGACCTCCAAGCACTGGGTCACAACAGGTATGTGCATCTGTTCAACTTACATCAAAGTGGCCATATATGGAATGTGCCATATTTTTTATTTTCCTGCTCCTTTAATCTGTAAATCATGACTCTAATTGCCCACACCTTCAATGCTGACCAATAGGAGAATGCCTCTTTGGTTAAAAGACACATATTTGATGCAGATTTCATGGTTAGTGCTGTCCCTTGTTAATGGGTCAATGCTTTAAATTGTTTAGTCAAGTTATTGGTACAGTTTCTTCACTGACAATTTGTACTGCTGTGCAATTTTCTGTTGTAATAGGCAAGGATAGTGCAGGAACACACAGCATGGTAAGTGGACAAACATCTGAAAGAATTACTCCCCCCACACCTGGGATACAATTTGACTGAATGTGAATACATACTTGCACCTGTTTTGTTTGCACTGCATTGGTTTTGCTTTATGTTTGAACTGAGCACACTAAAGTTTTATGTGCTGGACTCTTTGCGTGGTGGCGAGGATACAATGAAGCACCAAAAGAAGAAGAAAAAGTCTGATCTAGCATTAAAGGGGCAGCAAATGATGGTACAAACTTGTGTAAGTGTTGTAATTATTCTTCTACTTTTCTGGACAACCATAGTATCCCCTGTGTGATAATCATTTGTAATTGTGTAAAAGGCACACTTCATTGAAATGCTAAGGAAAGTCAAGCCTGAGCTGGAGACTTTGGCCAACCTAGATTCAAACAATGTCATCTTGTATCCCACGGTTCATGTTTAAGAGAATATGTGAGTCTTTTGTTCACTGTAAGTTATTTGTTATAAATTATCATTGAGATAGATAAGCCAACATTGTGATGTGTTCATTTTTTAATGACGAATGTGGGGTTCATGTCATCACATATCTAAGAGAGTGGCCCAACCCACAAGAGAAGGATGGAGTTCAATTCACCATGCCTTATTATACAGCTGTAGGTGTTGAATTATATGTTAATGACTTCATGCATTTGTGTGAACTTACTGAGAAAAGTTATTGTTGTCCTATAGGATCAATATACATCTATACAGTATGAGCTGTTGTGGTGGCTCGTGACTCATAAAAGAAACATCAAGTCAGATGCTATTGCCAGATACCTTGACCAGATTAACACACAACGCAAGAGTAAGCGATGACAGAGCAAATTCCTACCTTGTAGTTTTCACTGATAAGCACTGTAATTGTTGTTGTAAACACTTTATGTGGACTTAAATGTTGTGCATACAAAAGATGTTAATGAAGTCTATTTTGATAGATTCATATTATCAGTACTTGTTTACTTTGATTAGATGTATGGTTGACAACAGAAATTAAGGAATTTGAAAGAACAATACATAAATTAACACCAAATGTTCATCCATTTCCAACTAAACAACCTATATTAAGGATTAGCACTTTGCATGAATGATTAGACAATTTGCAAGAGAGACAAATAAGTTAACAACAACAATTAGACCATTCACAAGTGTTGTTCATTAGCTGAACAACGTGTCCTCTTACATATGCAAGTGCCCTCCTTCACCTGAACAAGGTGTCCATTTCCATATGGAACTAGGGAATTTGCAACCCCAATACATATATTCAAAACTAGAATCAGGCTATATACATGTGCCGTCCTTGACCTGAACAAGGTGCCCATTTGCAATGGGGACTAGTCAATTTGCAAGACACATACTTGGCATCACATGCGAAAGCAGTCCATTCACGTGTGGACTGGTTCACTTGAAGCATGTGTCCGTGAGGGAACAAGTGGGGTAGAGCCCATTTGCAATGGGAACTAGGCAATTTGCAAAAGATATACCTATATTCACATGTGGAACTAGGGAATTTGCAACCCCTATACATATATTCAAAACTAAAATTAGTCTATATACATGTGCCGTCCTTGACCTGAATAGGGTGCCCATTTGCAAGGGAAACTAGCCAATTTGCAAGACACATACTTGGTGTCACATATGGAAGCAGTCCATTCACATGTGGACTAATTCACTTGAAGCATGTCTCCGCAAGGGAACAAGTGGGGGAGAGCCCATTTGTAAGGGGAACTAGCCAATTTGCAAAAGATATACCTATATTCACATGTGGAATCAGTCTATTCACATGTAGACTGGTTCACCTGAAGCATGTGTCCATGAGGGAACGTGTAGGAGACCTCATTTGCAAGGGGGTCTAGCCAATTTGCAAAAGATATACTTGTATTCACATGTGAAACCAGTCCACTAACATGTGGACTGGTTCACCTGAAGCATGTGTCCGTGAGGGAACATGTGTGGGAGACCTCATTTAGAAGGGGGACTAGCCAATTTGCAAGACACATACCTGGCTTCACGTGGACTGATTCACCTAATGTGTGTGTCCGACTTAAGTGTGGGAGAGCCCATTTGCAAGTGGGACTAGGCCATTTACACCATACATGCATATTTTCACAACTATAAATAGTCCATTTGCATGTGACCTACTCATACTGAAGGAGGTGTCTGTGAGTGAATGACAAACTCAATTATTTTTATATATTTTGATATCTTTTATATGGGTTTTGTCAACTTAATTAGTCCCTTTTGACCTTCATTGATTGATTAATTGATTTAATATGTTTTATTTTGAATTATTATTTTATAGGGGTAAAATTGTCATATTTTGGTTTAATTGTGACTAATTGATTTTTTAGGACAATTAATGCTACCTTATCCTTGAATTTTGCTTGCAGGTTCTTGGAAGATTCAAAAATTAAAAAAAAAAGAAAAAATAAAAAGGAAAGAAAAATAAATTTAAAAAAGAAAAAAAATAATAATAAGGGGGGCAAAACGTTGCGTTTTACCCCAACCTAATATTCAATTAATCATCTTCATTGGCGTAAGAAGAGGCACACACGAGAGGACCAGGAGCTGGACAGTGGCTGGCAGATGACCTGGAAAAAAAACAGAGCAAGGCGCACACACGAACGACGAGAGCAAAGACACAGACCAGGGGAATTGATGACGCGAGGGACACACGCTGAACGAGCTGGAGGCGGTGAGCAACGAGTGAACACTATTCATCATCATCTCCAGTGAACTGGAGGCACGAACAGTGAACAGAACCAGAGGGAGAGAAGCAGGGGCCGACGGCGTGATGAGGAAAGGGGAGCTCAACGGGAATTCTTCCTTTCCATAGGATCGTCATCACCACCGTCTTCTTCACTGCTATGGCCAACTGTATGAGGGAATTGATTGAAGTAGATTATGAAATTATGTATGGCTAATCCATCAAAAAAATTAGCGACGGAAATTCCGTCGCAATTCCGTCAAAAATTAGCAACGGAATTTGTTTTCGTCGTAAATTCCGTCACAAATTTTAAGAAAATAAATTACATAGGATATATATACAAGTAGGAAAATACTGTTTATCATAATCTATTTAAATCATTTAATTTTTTATATAGAATAATTTATTAGATTTTATTATAGTAGTTATTTTTTGAATAACAAGATTTTTTGACTAATTGTAAATGATTTTCTTCAAATATATAAACCACATATACATAATATAATATAATGTAATATAATATATATAATTAAATTGTATATCTTATCAATGTTAATTAAAAATAAATTTAAAAATTATTTATGAAAAATTATTTATGATGTCAAATTCAAAATTAGTGTTGTTAGAAATTAAAATTATATTAAAAATATTTTTCAAAAAATAAAACATTATAAAAATAGTAAAACAAATATTTAAAAATTATTTTTTCATTAAAATAGTTATGATTAAAATTATCATATAGTATAATTTTAGTTTTTAATAATATCTATGTATATATAATTGTTTGTGTAAAATAATATAATATATATATATTTAATTTTACATAATAAGTCAATAGGTTCATTGCAGCTCAACTGGTAAAGCCGCATGTGCGCACGGAGGAGGTCCTGGGTTCAAGCCATGGAGAAGTCACTTTGAGAAGGGAATTATGTTGTGGTGACACGTGGCGCACACGTGGCAGGCAGAGGTGAGGTGGCAGCACACGTGGCAGTAGACGTGGAGGTAGTCCCCAGTGATGACGTGGCAATTGGTAGAGGTGCCACGTGGCATTTTATTTTATTTTTTAAAAAATCGATTTAGCGACGGAATAATTTGCGACAGAAATTCCGTCGCTAAAATTCCTTCTGTAATTAGCGACGAAAAATCCGTCGCTAATTTCAATTCCGTCGCTAATCAATTAGCAACAAAGGAATTAGCGACGGAACAAATTCCGTCGCTAATCCGTTTCCGTCGCTAATCTGTCGCTAATTCTGTCACTAAATAAAAAATTTCGTCGCTAAATTTCGTCGCTAAAAGCATGTTTTCTTGTAGTGCTGTCTAATAATTGTTTAACAATTCCTAGGTCTTAGGATAGTTATTCTGATTATTAGAAAATTTCTATTGTTTAATCTGATTATATTTGGAGATTGTTGTGACTGGATTATTGTTTAGCATTTGACATTGGGCTATTTATAGCTTTGATTTCAATTATAATATTGTGGTTATGACATTTGTATTGATTTGGAGTTAATATATCGTGATTTTCTAGGGTGGCTTGGAATTTTGGATCATATTGTCTCTTGTTAGCTTTAATTCTGTTATTTTGGATTTAAGAGCTCTAATTAAGCATTGGTTTTTAGCATCCTTAATCCCATTTTACTATTCTGGTTGTAGTTAGTAAGTTGGTATTTTAGGAAAATATTTTGTGGCAACTCAAGGTGACTTGGTTGTTGGATTAAAAGCTTAATTATAATTCTTAATTCATTGTTTTAACTCCCACATCTTTTAGAGTGATGATTGCCTGCGTTGTTGAATTGGAGGATTGATTATTATCATTGTTATTCTTGTGTTTTATTTTCATTTCTTTCATCTTCATTTATTTCAATCATTTTTATAAAATAAAAAAAAGTATTTTTATTTCAATTTAATTCAAGGCATTCAGTTTGCAATTTTTTTCAAAATCAAAAATCCTTTTTATAGTTTACGTTACTTGCATTTATTTACTAGGATTTAATTTCGTTTTCGGCTCCTTAAAGTGAATACAACCCGGATTGTGCACTATATTATATTAATTCGGTTAATTTTTGGAGTAACCCTAAAGCGACAAATTAAGGGCAAGTTAACTGCAAGTGGCGCCGTTGCCGGGGAGCCAAGAAATTGGTTCCCTAGTAACCAAGTGTCAAGTAGCCTTGATTGGGGTTCATTTGTTGAGCCTTTTTAGTTTTCATTTTTGTTAGTTTTTGTATTTTTAAATAGTTTGCATTTGTTTCTTTTGATTTTTCATTGCACTTCTTTCCTTTGCATAGAAAATTTCTCAAAAACACAACTAAATATCTTGATTTTTCATTCATTGCATTTTTCATTCTCATACACATACACTTGCATTGCATTGCATTCATCTGTTTTCTTTTGCTTAATTGCTTCTGGTTGATTGATTGTTTATGCCAAGAAGGGGTAGGTCTAAAACCCTAGTTCCTTCCAATCCTGAGCTTCAAAGTTCTTTAAGGGAAGTTAGACAAGATCAAAGGGTAGAAAGGACTAGTGAGGTTGAACTAGACAATTTAACTGGTCTAGATTTGGTGGTTGACTTAGGTGACATAATGGAAACAGTTAATAATCTTAATGGTAACAACAATGGTGGTAATGACAGAGGGGGCAATGGACATAATGGGGAACATAATAAAGTAGGAGAGAATAATAGAGATAACCCTAGAAGAAGAACCATTAGGGAAGCCACTACTTCTGATGCAAATTATGATCCTTTTAATGTTGCATGCCTTAATGTTGATGTTAATTTTGAGATTAAAGGTCCGCTGCTTAATTCTTTGCCTAAATTCTATAGTTTGACAGGTGAGGACCCGTACAATCATCTGAAATCTCTTTCTATGGTATGTGCTAGCATGAAGCCGGTCGGGGCTAATCTGGATGAGGTTCTTTGTAAGGTATTCCACTTGTCTCTGGAGGGCAAAGCGTGAGAATGGTATATGAGCTTGCCTAGGCATATGGAAGATGCCTACCATAACTGGAACAACCTCAGAAAAGCATTCTTAGAGAAGTATTTCCCCGCTTCCCGGACTTCCACATTGACAAAAGAGATCTACTCTACGAAGCAAGACTATGATGAGTTACTTTATGACTACTGGAACCGTTTTTAGGACTTGCTTTCTAGATGTCCACACCATCAGATTCCAGATGAGCAGTTAGTCCAATACTTTTATGATGGGCTTAAGATCCAAGACAAGGGGATGTTGGATGCTGCTTCCGGGGGTTCTCTCATTGATTTAACTGCTGAGGAGGCATGGGAACTTATCAAGAAAATGGCCTTGAACCATCAACAGTATAACATCAGGGAGTCTAAAAATGTCAATGCAATGCATGCTAATCCTTCTTCAGTCCACATTCCTCAGTTGGACACATTCACTTCTCAAATTGCTACTTTGACTATACAGTTGAATAAGCTTACATCTCATACTCCTCTTGTTGACACCTGGAATCCTAATTCCATGGAGATGACTGCACCTAGTTGTGAGCATTGTAACTCTGTTATGCACATCTTTACTGCTTGCCCTCATAGATATGAGGAAGTTTCTGTCATGTATCAAGGAAGGGCCAATCAATCTAAGCAATGGAACCCATACTCAAATACATATAATGAAGGGTGGAAAGCTCATCTGAATCTCCGATGGGGAGGAGGTGACAATAGGCAAGTTCGAGAAGGGTTTCAAGTGAATATGGTTCCTCAAGGGCAATCTTACTATGGAGGGTTACAAAGAGAATCTTCAAGAGTCATGTCTACCCTACAGCAATCGCAATCCAAGGATGATGAGCAGTTCTCTCGAATAGTCAAGGGTATTAAGGCAATGACTGAGCACATATCTAAGTCTGAAGCTAAATCTGAAGCTAGATTTGCAGCCCTAGAGAATAGGATGGAGCAATGGGAAACTAGAACCTCTAATTTGACTTCTTATGTCACTAAGTTGTCAAATGGTATGAGTGAACAGTAAGCTAAGGCTAGTGGTTCAATACCTTCCAACACAGTGATAAATCCTAAATCTTTGAATGCAATTACATTGAGAAGCGGTAAGGAAATTGGTGCTAAGAAAGTACAATTCAAAGAGGATGAAGAGGATGAAGAACTGGTTGACGAAGAGATAGAAGTTGAGTCTCCTCCTTCTAAAACCACTCAAGACATTCCCAAGGCTACTCAAGAGACCTCCATTCAATCCAAAGAGCCAATAGAGAAAGGATCACCTCCTAAAGGTGATGAGGTAAACATTTCTGACTTGCCTTTTCCTCATTCATATCTCATGAGTAAGAAAGTTGTTGAAAAGAAAGATAATGATGAGCTTTTTGAAATGTTTAGCAAACTTGAGGTTAATGTGCCATTACTTGATTTGATTAAGAAGATGCCTAAGTGTGTTAAGTTTCTGAAAGATCTATGTACAAACAAGAGGAAGTATAGGCATAGTAAGAGAATCCAACTGGGGTCTAGTGTTAGTGCTATCTTCAAGCCACAGCTACCTATTAAGTGTAAAGACTCGGGTTCCTACACTATTCCCTGTACCATAGGCAAAACAAACATTTCACATGCCTTACTAGACTTAGATGCAGCCATAAATGTTATGCCTACCTCTATCTATCAGAGTTTGGGTATTCATGCCTTGAAAGACACCAATGTTGTGCTAGGTCTAGCTGATCGGACTGTGAGACATCCTAAGGGCTTTCTTGAAGACGTTCTTGTGCAAATGAAGGGTCTTGTGTTCCCAGCTAACTTTTATATGCTAGATATGACTGATGAGATTAAAGCTGATAGCACTTTGATTCTAGGAAGACCTTTTCTTAGAACAGCCCAAACCATAATTAATGTGAAAGACGGAGTCATTACCATGGGCTTTAGGGACCAACAGATTACCTTTAACATTTCTGATGCTATGAGTCAAGGTTATGCAGATTGCTCTTACTTGGGTGTTAATTTGATTGATTGTGTTGTTAATGATGTTGATGATTTGCATGAATATGAGATGCATGAACATGATTGGTATGGTGAGATTGTTGAGCATGATTATGCATTTACTTGTTTATCTACCCCTCATTCTTCTTCTTTTTGCTCATGTTATGGTGACGTGGTGTGTGTTAACTGTTTAGAAGTTGATCACCTCCTTTCCATCTCTCATGATTTTGATGCATCATCTTGTCTTAACTGTGATTCTACCTTGAACATTACACTTGATGATAGCCTTGAGAAAGGCGAGTTTGTTGATTCTGCAGGTACTGATGATAAAGGAGTTGTTACACAAGCTACATCGGTAGCTTCTCCTTTGAGTGGTGCTGGAACATTAGAAGAGGCTAGCAACAAGATTGCTACTCACTTAGTCACTTCTAATCCCACTCTTCCTTGTGATTTACTTAATGTTTCTGTTGATAAGATTGATATTGATCCTCTTTTTTGTAGGTCATCCAAGAATGGCACTGAGTTGGGAAGTGGAGGACATACACATCATGATGAGCTTATATCTCCTTCCCTAAGCCATATGGACATGCCACTTGCATTGAATGCACTTGACATAAAAGAACTAGTTCCTTCTGTTGTGCAACCTCTTGATTTAAAACTGAAACCCCTCCTCCCTAATTTGAAATATGTCTTTCTTGCTGCTCATTCTAAATTGCTTGTTATTATTTCCAGTTCTTTGAATAGTTCTGAAGAAGAAAGATTGATTTCTGTGTTGAAGAGTCATAAAGGGGCTATAGGATGGTCTTTAGGGGATATTCCAGGAATTGATCCATCAGTTTGCACACATAGGATCCTTTTGAATGAAGGGTCCAAGCCAGTTAGGCAACCACAGAAGAGATTGAATCCTCTTATTTTGGATGTGGTTAAGAAGGAAGTCTCAAAGTTGTTGAGTACTGGGATCATCTATCCCATATCAGACAGCGAGTGGTTAAGTCCGGTACAAGTAGTATCAAAGAAGAGCGGTATCACAGTAGTGAGAAATGAAAATGATGAACTGATTCCAACCAGGGTTCAAAATGCTTGGAAAGTGTGTATGGACTATAGGAAGTTGAATGATGCTACAAGAAAGGACCACTTTCCATTACCTTTTATAGATCAAATGTTGGACAGAATTTCAGGAAAATCTCACTATTATTTTCTTGACGGTTTTTCTGGCTATTTTCAGGTGCCTATCGCTCCTGAAGATTAGGACAAGACTACCTTCACATGCCCTTTTGGTACCTTTGCTTATCAAAGGATGCCATTTGGGTTGTGTAACGCTCCAGGCACCTTTCAAAGGTGCATGATGGCGATATTTAGTGATCTTCTAGAACAAAACATGAAAGTTTTTATGGATGACTTCACTGTTTACGGTGAGAGTTTTGAGGAGTGCTTGAATAGCCTAGAGCAGGCTCTTGAGAGGTGTATTGATAAGAAATTGGTTTTAAACTTTGAAAAGTGTCATTTCATGGTTGATAAAGGGATAGTCTTAGGTCACCTCATCTCTCAAAAAGGGATTGAGGTTGATAGGGCCAAAATTGAAGTTATTTCATCCCTTCCTTATCCTACTCGTTTAAAGGACTTGAGGTCTTTCTTAGGGCATGCAGGTTTCTATCGGCGCTTTATTAAGGATTTTAGTAAAGTTGCTTTGCCTCTTTCTACCTTGTTGAAAAAAGATGTTGAATTTAAATTTGATGATGAGTGTAGGCATGCTTTTGACACTTTGAAATCTATGCTTGTTTCACCTCCTATTCTCACTGCCCCTAACTAGAATTTACATTTTGAGTTGTCTTGTGATGCTTCTAACTTTGCAGTAGATGCCATGCTTGGACAGAGGGAGGCGAAACAGTCTAGACTCATCGCATATGCCTCCAAGACGCTTGATTCCGCTTAAGTGAATTATACCACCACTGAGAAGGAATTGTTTGCTATTATTTTTGCTTTGGATAAGTTTAGACAATACCTAATAAACTCTCGAGTGGTTGTTTTTACAGATCATGCAGCGGTTCGGTACCTATTTAAGAAGCCTCAGTCTAAACCTAAACTGTTGAGATGGGCTTTGCTGCTACAGAGAGTTTGATATCGAGATCAGAGATAGAGCCGGGGCAGAGAATCATGTAGCTAACCACCTTAGTCGGTTACCTGAAGGCACACAGAGAGTTGACTCTTATGATCTTGTTATTGACTCCTTTCCTGATTTTGTACTTTTTGCCTTGGCTATTCATGAGCCTTGGTATTCTGATATAGTTAATTATCTTGTCACTGACCTTTTACCTCCTTCTATGTCTAAATTTTAGATTGATAAGCTGAAGAGGGAGGCAAGATACTATATCTGGGATGCCCCAATCCTGTGGAAGCAATGCAGTGACCAGATCATCAGACGCTGTGTTCCGAATAATGAGATCCACTCTATCCTTACCTTTGCACATTCTTTATCTTGCGGGGGGCATTTTAGTGCTAATAGGACTGCTAGGAGGGTTTTAGAGTGTGGTTTTTATTGGCCTTCTCTATTTAAGGATGCTTATTCTTTCTGCAAGTCTTGTGATAAGTGTCAGAGGTTTAGGAGTTTGGGTAGAAAGCATGAGATGCTTCTAAGACCTATGCATTTTTGTGAAATCTTTGATGTGTGGGGCATGGACTTTATAGGTCCCTTCCCTTCGTCTTTTGGGTTTTCATACATATTACTTGCAGTAGATTATGTGTCTCGATGGGTAGAGGCAGTGCTAACTAGGAAAGATGATGCTTCTACTGTTGCCAAGTTTTCACGTTCTCATATCTTTTG